ACGCACCTTTTTCTTTTTTTTGCTAACTTTTTGCTTTGGCTGCTGGATGCTTGATTTGATTATTATATATATAAGTTCCAAGGTAGGGTTTCTTCTCAATTTGTTTTCTGAATAAAACTAAATAAAAAATACTCTACAGCCCAAAACTTATGGCTGTGGCTTTTGACGTTTCTACAGCCCAAAAAAAGGAAAAAAGTGAAAAGTGGCTGTAGACTTTAAAAATAAATGTAAAGCATGATTGCTGTGGACATGTGGCTGTAGAGAAAAATATGGCTGTGGAAAGATTCCAAAGCCACAACCAATCAGGCCCATATTCTTTTGTAACGTATAAAATGATTTTCATAAATTTAAGGTGGGTCAGTTGCACCCCCTTCTTAATGCATAGGTCTGCCATTGACTGCGTGTAGTGCTCTCGTTACTAAGATACCATTCATGTATTTAAGTATTTTTTTTTTTTTTTTAATATTTAGATTTAAGAATTCTACAAAAAAAAAAAAAAAATTGACACATGCATATAATTGTCCTGTTATCAAGATACCATTCATGTATTTTTATTTTTGTTTTAATTAAAAAAAAGTTGCATGTAATATGTTCTTGTTACCAAGACACCATTCATGTATTTAAGTATTTTTGGTTTTTGTTTTAATATTTAGATTTAAGTTTTCCAAAAAAAAACAATTGATCGGTACATGTAGTGCTTCTGTTACCAAGACACCATTCATGTACTTTTGTTTTTGTTTTAATATAAGCAAAAAAAAACTACATTTAATCCTCTTGTTACCAAGACACCATTCATGTATTTAAGTTTTTTTTTTTGTTTTAATATTTAGATTTAAGAATTCTACAAAAAAAAAAAAAAAAAAATTGACTAGTGCATATAGTTGTACTGTTAGTCTGTTACCAAGACACCATTCATGTATTTTTATTTATGTTTTAATTAAAGCAAAAAAAAGGTGCATGTGACACCATTTATGCATTTATGTATTTACCATCACAAATGGCTTGTGATTCTACTTTAGTAGAAGATGTGATGGGTTATTTATCAGCCTAAGTTTTTTTTTTTGGTTTTATGAAAGTTAGAAGACGTTTGTATTGTTCTTTACGATTTACATGTATTTTGATTTCATTTCAGTTATTTACATTACGTCAACAACCAAATCAACAAAAAGGCATTTTGAACAAAAAACAAAAAGAAAAAAGAAAGCAAAACACTAATTCCATCATTCCATAGTACAAGGATATCTTAATAAGAATTTTCTCCTTGAAATTTAATTCTATAGTACAAATTATTTTTACGAGAAGGAGAAGAGGATTCTTATTGATAATTTTTTTTATTGAATCTTACATTAGTTTCCCGAAATTAAAAGATGCCAAAATATTTTTCAACAAAATTCATTTGACACCATTATATTTAGCATACATATTATAGTCTGTTGAATCTCTTTATTTGGGTGAAGATCTCCATCATCATAATAAAACTTCTTGTTAAGATCAAATCTACGCTGAACTTTGGTAATGAGATTTTGTTCTTGATCCACCTTCTTCGTCTCTTCCTTCACTTCTTCCTTTATTGTATCTTTCCCTTTGTTTTCCATTTTTTTTTAAGAAAAACAGAATTTTGTTTTTGTATAAAGGAGTTATAGAGGTGAACGTGTACAAACTCTAATTTATAATACTAGTGTATTAAATTACCGTGGGAAGTTGTGTGAGTATTAAAGTAAAGAAAGGACTAAAAAGGGTTTGACCATTAATTATTCCTATTGACTACCACTTTAATTAAATACAAAATCAATCTATTAAAAACAAGAAAATAAATTTAAAAATCAATTTATGAAAAACGGAGGGAGCAATATTTTAATTTAAAAATTTTGTGAGAAAAAATAAAGAATTGACTTGTACATGTAGTGCTCCTGTTATCAAGATACCATTCATCTATTTTTGTTTTTTTTTAGTTAAAGCAAAAAAACTGCATGTAATGCTTTTGTTACCAAGACACCATTCATGTTAAGTATTTTTGTTTTTGTTTTAATATCTATACTAGTATTTTTGCAACACTTTGGTGACGGGTGGGTAAAAATGCTTCTGGATTAATCGGATATCCGACCCGTTTTTTGAATTCCTTCACAAAAAAATACTTGGATCGGTCTAAATAAAATCCAACTCATACACCGGATATTCTATATTTAATAATTTAGATATTTAGAAGATTTGATTAAGATTTAGAATTATGATTCTCCTATCATCTTTGTTTGATTTGTTTTTAACTGTTTTGAATCATCATATAATACATAAGTAAAAAAAAAAAAATCAATTTTTTTTTTCTGCATATACTGTGATTCGAAATTTTAAAAACGGACATATATTATCCAATTGACGAAAATATGTGTTCAACGTTCTACATCGATTAAAATATTTAGACAATGATTCAGAATCATATCATAAATAAGATCAACACTAATAAAATAAATGAGTTTTTTGGCGGGACGGGTTTGGCGGAACGGGTTTGGCGGAACGGGTTTTTGAATCAACAATAATGAAAAGATTAAAATATCATTAATCTGCCGCTTCAATACGGATTAAATCCTTAATTGTTTTTTTAATACCACCAATATTAGACATATTAAATCAGTCTCATTTAGAAAAAATTGTATAAAACCAAAAATTGTCACGTGGTATAATGTTACTTAATAAAGATATTTATAAAATTTTAAAATATCATTAACATGCCGCTTTAATACATATTAAATTTTTAGTTTATTAAAATATAAATGTCTTAGAGAATGATATGATTTGTAAACTTTTATATATAATAAATAATCATTAAATTTTAAAATAAAAACAAATCACGAGACGGGTTAAGAAATTACGGAACGAGTATTTCGGAAAGGATTTATATGGCGGACGAATTTGAATTAATATTTATATACCGCTTTAATACGGGTTAAATCCTCAATTTATTAATAATTGTCTCGTGGACTCGTGGTATACCGTTACTTAATAACAATTGTAAACTATAATATAAATAAATATGTTATAACGAGATACAATTTATAAAATATTTTTATACTAACTTTAAAATTAAATCATCCCGCGGTGTACCGTGGGTTAAAATCTACTCCCTCCGTTTCAGTTTAGTTGTCGTTTTAAGATTTAAATTTTGTTTCATAATAGTTGTCGTTTTAGGTTTTCAATGCAAATGTTTGGTGAAAATTCTAGTTTTATCCTTACTGTTTTAATGTTTTGGCCAATGAAATTTTTTATAAAATATATTAATAAAGGGTAAAACAGAAAATTTAATGTTTTTCTTAATTTGTGTGAAAAAAACCTTAAACGACAACTAAAACGAAACGGAGGGAGTAGTTTAGATGTAAGAATTCTACCAAAAATAAATAAAGAATTGACTGGTGCATATAGTTGTTCTGTTACCAAGACACCATTCATGTATTTTTGTTTTTGTTTTAATTAAAGCAAAAAAAAGCTGCATGTAATGCTCTTGTTATCAAGACACCATTCATGTATTAGATATACCAGAGTTTCTTTTGCGGCTCAACCGAGGATGGTGATACATAGACGAACACACGACAAAACCCTAGTCGTGTGTTGAGATAAATAGCCCATATATTGAGATAGGGAAGTTAAAATCATACTAACGCATTTATGATTTTACCTCCAACAAAAATAGAACAAACTGAATTTGTTGTATCCAAATAAGCAACAAAAATGGAAGAAACTTAAGCACTTTCCTCTGTTTTATCGAGTGTCGCTACCTTGTGTTTCGATAACAAAGGCGAGTTCCTGGATTCTTCTTGGAAATCTAATCTTATATATATGTGAATCGCAAAGCTGATCAAATTTGGATGGAATGTCAAATTCTTGATTAGCATATCCAGAGGATATTGATATGAAATAACTACGATCAGATTATTATATAGCTAAAACACTTTTCTTCTTTATAACATGACTTATTGTCTTCTGTTTCTGGTCCACATTAATATACCATGAAAAAAGTGTAGCCTATAGCGTACATGGACCACCAGAAAGATCTCTGCTCGATCGATAATTTCTCAAACGGTTGAGTCGGTTTTGAGATAGCAATTGCACCTTTCATCCCCACGTCCCATCAAGAAGTGACTTGCTAGTAGTGGAGCTTGTTGGCATGATCATATTACTCGCTGTCGTCATAATCTTCAATATGAAACATAAAAAGAAGTCCTGAAGAACACTGTGTGGCTCAACAGAAAATTTGAATTCTGCATTCTTCTAGGGTCTATGCATTTTGTTTCGATGATCTAGAAAACCAATTAATTGAACATAAACTTTACTTGACTTTGCAAGAACACAACTGTTTATAGCATATATCCCTAAAAGAGAACCAATAGACCAGCTTAGCAAAGTGCATTGGTTAAGTACGTAAGTTCTTCCAACAAGTATAAACTTGTAACAGAGGAGTCTAGGATGATCAAACACAGCTCAAAGCTCGACCCCAATAAGTCTTGCGTTCATACCTTGATAACGGGTCATCCAATGTGGCTCCAACCTCCGATGACAGTGAGTAAAAAGATAATTGTAGAGATAAATATTGAACTAAGAATTGTAGAGCTTTACCCCGAAGGGAGCTCTTCCAGAAATTCTCGAAGGCCCAAGACAAGCTTAGGCCTAGGAGGGGGTTTGGAAATAGTTTTCAACCAGCAATAGACGCGCCTCGGTTAAGACCTCATTAGCTGCGTCATTGCCCCAAGCGCAAAGATGAGTTTGTGTGAAGGAGAGCCTCTTTATTTATAGCAAAACAGAACCTATCAAGCTAATATATAATTCCGATGTGGGACTTTTTGTGTTTATGGTTTTGCTTAGATTTAGTTAGGATTAAAATAAAGATACTTCCAATGTGGGACTATTGAGTATACACGGCACCACCAAAATGGGTTCTCGAAGCTTCTATTATGGCCATATATTTAAGACTACTACTTGTAGTATGAGAATTTAAGACTAATGTTGAATGGTAGGAGCTGCGCGAACGCAAACACCCGCTGCCACAAATAATGACGTAGGCTCTTCTTCAAGGGAAGACCTTTAGCATAGCACCCCAACTATATGTGCAATGGTCACTAGCCTAGGCCACTCGTCTCATTAATAGCGAGTTGACCCCGTCCAGGTAAGTAATTTTCTTGATTCGTCGACTTTTCTTTTTATACTCTGCGTTCCCTTGTCAGTATTTTGGATTTAAGCAATGTGGGACTATTTTTGTTAACACATCGTGTCATTTTAGTCTTCTGGTTTCCAACAACGTGCCGGTTTAGGGTTTAGGGTTTAGGGTTTAGGCATGAGATTTTTTGTTGTACATGTGTGCTGGACGCTCTAGGCCCAATCAATGTCTAGTAGCTGTTTAGTTACTAAGATAACATACATATGGAATGTGTTAAAATTAAATGACAATGGAATAAATTCACAACTCCACCCAAGACTAAAATCCAAGAATCGGAATATGAAAAGAGAAAAAGAGGAGAATTTACATTCCATTTCATAGGTCTGTTTTGAATATATAAAAGTCTAAATATTGAGTAAGTTGAAGAAAGTTGAAGCAATTTAGTCATTTAGTTAAGAGATTGATGAAATCAAAAACAAAAAGAGTAACTACATACCACATTTTTTTTCTTTCACATATTTCGTATTGATCAAACTACTAGTGCTCTTTCTATCTTTGTTGATCTCCTGACCTCTACTATAACAAAACATATAGAAGAACATAAAACACATAGCAGAATATTGTTAATGTATCTGCATTGAAGCCTTTGCTAAATTATCCCACGAAACGTTATGCCAAAAAAAAGAAGAAGAAGCAACAACCATATATATCTAGTCCTTACCCATAAATATAATTATAAAATTAAGAGAGTTGTCTAGATTTGTGAGTTTTAAATATATTGATGATTAATTTTAAAAAATAAAATAAAAACTGTTAGAAAATATAAAGAGTAGTGTGTATTTTTTAGTATGTGCATTTTGTTTTTGTAACCAAAATATTCCGAGTTTTAGGTTCGTTATTTCTTTTGGTCAGAGACCATAAAATTTTAATTAGTCTTTTTTGAAGCTTTTGTAGAATTGAGCATATTTCAGCACAAAAACTAGAGAAATAAAATACTTTTCTTTTAAGCTTATAAAAATGGGTATTTGTGTGTCCGTAAAAAGATAGTTTTACTTTTTATTGATGACGTGGGAGAATACTTTGAACGGAATTGGGCGAAATTTAAAATCTCTGACTGACAATGTGATCGCCGAACAGTGCGCGGCGGTGTGTGGACTCATATTACACACGGTGGCAGAAGAGTGAGTGGACAACGATGAAGAAAGATATTATTTGAGATATATTTAAGGGTTATTGTTGTTGTGTACATATAAGAGAATACATTTTTCAAACCCTACCCACTTTGTTGACGGTAACGAGCGATTGGAAGGAGGAGAGAAATTACGCTAAGAAGAATAAAGGCAAAAAGGTGAACTAAACTCTATATTAATTGAAGTCTTATTATACCGTTAATTTTGTGGATTATAAAATTGCTTTTTCTAATAAATAAAATTCATATTTTCGAATAAAATGATGAGTTTAATGTCAAACCCTCTAATTTTGAAAAGGTTTTCTTTAGGTTTATTTCCATGTCACAAATGGACTTCTTTTTACTCGTGTTTCCGTCATAAAATCTTCTTCATTGTTATTTCGCAACATAGGATACATACATTTATATTAATCGTGATATTATAATTGAATTGCAGTTTTCCAATTAGAAACCTCTTGTGATTCGCAATCTGTCTGATGGATTAATTTTACTTCGAAGAAAGGTGAGTTAAATTTCTTCTTTGATGTACATGTATGCTGCCGGCCGGTAAATTTGGGTGCCCTAAGCAAAATTTAAAGCCCATTAAAAAGATTTTCTTTTAAATTAGATTTTTATTATTAAAAAGAATGTTGTAGTTGTCTCTAAAAGCCCACAATATTTTTAAAAGACTCTATACAACTTATTGTATATAAAAAAAACTTAACAAATTTTTAGGTAAAAAGGCCCTCAAATTTTGAGGCCCAAATCGGTGGCTTCAGTGGCTTGCCCTCTGGGCCGGGCCTGGTTTTTGGGAGTTACAGAAAGATGGTTTTTTGGTAGTTATGATCCATGAGTTTCATAAAGAGTGTTATCTTTGACAAATTTCACACATTAAAAAAAGACTTAAATATACAAACATAATACCCTTATTTAATATACCGTTAATCTATATATAATAGCAATCACAATAAATGCTTTATGCACCTCTGAACAGTTGCATCTTTTTATCGCAACCTTTCGTTTAATATTTACGGTTATTTCTTATTGATGGTCTCTTTTTATCGCATCTTTTCGTTGAAATGTTTACGGTAATTTCTTTACAATTGTGTCTTTTAATTGCATCTCTTCGTTAACATATTTAAGATTTGTTTTTTACAGGTATATTTGTTCAGTTACAGTTATATATTTTCAATTTACGGTTGTGTCTTCATAGTTGCATCTATTCATTTAAAGTTATGTCTCATATTATATAGATTTAAATTTTGTTTTTTTAACTAAAATAAATATTTTACGGTTGTTTTTTTTCAAAAAGTTGCAATGCGAATAAATACTACGGTTGCATTTTTTAATCGTAACACCTCATAAACTATTGCGATTGTTTAGTTGAACCATTACAACATTTATGTTTTCATAAAAGTTGCATATGATCAGTTTTTAACTATCAAAATTTTGAACAACTGTGTTTTTTTGTTGCAACCTTTTGTTAAGTTTTTTTTAATAACTATAAAATACGATTTATGGTTGTGTTGTTTTTTAAAAGGTGCATCTATTCAATTTCTAACTATAAACTATAAACATTATGGTTTTGTTTTTTAAAAAATTATATCTGTTCAAAGGTCACAAAGGTTCGTCAAATAAACTTTTTCATTTTACGGTTGTAAAAATTGCATCTTATCAAATTTTAACTGTAAAATATAAATTTTATGGTTTTGTTTTTTTAGAAATTTTCATATGTTCAAAAGTTACAACAGTTCATTTTTGATAACTATAAAATATAATTTACGGTTGATTTTTTTTAATAAAAGTTGCATATGTTCAATTTTTAACTATATAATAAAAACCTTATTGTTAGTTTTTTAGATAGTTGCATTTGTTCAAAGGTTGTAACAGTTCATCAAATAAACTTTTTTACTTTTACGGTTGTGTTTTTATAATTGCATCTATTCATTTATAGTTACGTCTCTTCATTATATTCATTTTTAATGACATGTGAAATTAATTGATGAGAATAGAAATTATTTACAACAAATGAAATAATAGAGCAAACGAGAAACAGAGCAGAAACATAAATTACCATCTTTCCTATTGTATGTCAAACAGAAAAAATCTGAGCGTGAAACAAATTGTTATAGCGATTTTCTAGATGGTGTTGTTAAACATTTGTTTTTACCAAGTCACACTGACGTAGTAAGTTACAATATGTGGAATTTGGTGAGTGACAAATCAATGCTTGAAATGGAGGTAGACTATGAAAGAGGTGATGAAGAATGACGTTCTAAATACACATTTCAAAGCTTAAGTGAAGAGAAGGCCAAGATTATCTTGATGGAGAAGAAGTTCTTATATCTCTTAAGTGGAGTGATATTTGAAGAAGAAAACTTCTTCAATCTCATATAGAGGAAGAGAAGGAAAATCATGCATATAAAAGTAGGGTTTTACCCTCCCATGATTGGTCCACTTGGCAATATAATTTTTTTAAAAAAATATTTCAATTAAACCACAAATAAAAGATATTTAATTATATACATTTAATTCACAATTTAATATAAAACTGAAATCATATAAATTATGCATTAAAAATATTCTCCACTCAATTTTATTCAACACACAATCAATTATAATTGTAACTCCCATATTTATTTTTTTAAATTGTAACTTCTATCACTTCTCATCCTATAAATACTCATTTTCTCATTTTTTTCATTCTCTCATTCTCTCATTTTCTCATCTTCTTCCACTATATTTCAATTTTTTTTTATTATTGTTTTGTGTTTTTTTTTATTTAGGTTGTGGTTATCGTTGTATGGGTTAAAAAAACTCAAATTAAATATTATTTGTAAAAGCTTAATTCAATATTTAAATTTCTACATTAGTTTTTTTTTTTATTTTTTTAAAGATTCATCTCCATTTTGTATTTTAGATTATCATCTTATAAGTAATCATTCTCTCATCTTCTTCTACTATGTTCATGTATCTATTTGTTTTTTGTTATCGGGGTTGAAATCAATGAAAACATCATTGTAAGAATTTGATTATTGTTGTAAGATTATAATTATCCATTAGGGATAGTTATCTTTTAATATCCCTTATCCATTATTAATATTACTTAAATAGTATAACTTGGTCATTAAGCTATTATAGCTTGGTCATCAAGCTATTCTTAGCTATATATATGTTAGACGTTGGGCAAAAGTAATAATAACAAGAAAGTGAATTGCTCTCTCTCTTTTATCCCACTCTCTCTCTCTTTCTCAGAGAAACACTCAAAGATTCTCTCTACCCTCTCCACGTTTCTCTTTATAATTAATTAAGTATACATCATATATATATATATATATATTTTGTTATTATTTATAACACGTTATCAGCACGATGTCTATACCGATTGAGCGTTTACGAGGTAAGTAAAAATTTATATTATTTAAATTTATTTATGTTTATAGAACATAATTATTTTAGATATCGTGAGATTATGCATTTTTCCGGTTTGATCGTTATAAATGGTAGGCTCTGCCTCCTTCACGATCAAAAAAAAAAAAAAAAGCTATGTCTTTTCCGGATAGATCGTTATATATGGTAGGTTATGCCTCATTTACGATCAAATAAATGGCTATGCTTTTTCCGGATCGATCGTCATATATGGTAGGTTTTACCTTCCTAACGATCAAATAAAAATTTATATTTTTTCCGGATTGATCAATATATATGGTAGGCTCTGCCTCCTTCTTTATGATCAAATGAAAGTTATGCCTATTGAATTCTTAATGGAAGGCAATGCCTCCTGAATTCTTGTATAAAAAGGCTTTTGTTTCTATATTGTTTTTTTTTTTTTGGCAAAGTTTCTATATT